AAGCAGCAGAGCAGGGAGAAGAGGAGGAGGTAGGAGAGCTCGCGGTTGGTGGCCTTGACAATGGGCGTGTTGCGGAATTTGATGAACACACCCAGCACAAAGGCTGTTAGGAAAATGCCCAGCACGGCAAAGAGGGTAAGTGCGATCCCAAATGGCTCCGTCCACGACAGAAACTCAATCTCCTTGGCAATGCAGGAGGTGTGGTTCTCATTGGACCAGAAGTCATCTGGGCACTTGTTACAGGCACTGGCATCTGTAAAATGTCCCGGTGAAGAGTGAGTTACTGTGAGGCATAGACTAAAACGTATGAGTGTGCATGTGGTGGCGGGAATACATAGGTTATTGGATGTGGTCACTACATATTTTCTTCACTTTGATGAAATCATTTTGATTTTTACATTATCAAAAAATATGCTGAATGCTGACATGTTTAATAACATGGTTAATTTCATGTAACTCTGATGATTTTATTGTCAGTTTGTTTTCCCTTTGCACTTGACATGGGTGGGGGACCTTGCTTCCTTTAACACTACATGCTGATGGTTTATAGCAGGGAATGATCGACCTTGCTGGACAGGTGGCTGCCTTGCACACCAGAGGTCTAGCATCAACTCTTCACAGAAAGATTCAAGCCCAGCCTGATTTATTTATTTATTTAAATATTATTGTGTACTATTTGAGGTTTATAACATGGTGGTGTGGGATACATATGGGCGGTAAACTGGCTACTCTAATGAAGCAAATGAACATATCTGACATCTCACATGGAGACTGATTTATTTTGGATATATGGATGGTCTCTGTAGATATGCCAGAGCAGACTTCCTTTTAGATCAAGGCAGAGTATCCCACGCACATGATCTGTGCTTTCCTCACTCCACACCCACAGCTTTTCAATGAGGGAGGCTGCAAAGTCATTCAATTCACAGCTGTTTACTAAGTCTCTGCTAACTCCCAAGCAGTGTGCAGTTTGGGGCAGTGAAAGGAGCACGAGTTTTGCAGTTAGAGATCTGATGGAATCCTGGCCATGCTACTTACTAGTGATGTGACTTTGGTCACTTCTTAACCTCTCAGAGTCTCAATTTCCTAATTTGTAAAATGGAAGCAGCAATAATGCCATTATTGGGGTGAGGATAAAATGAGAAAATAATATCAACTATAGTTAATATTTATAGAGTACTTCTAATATGCCAAAGTTTTATTTAACAAATATTTATCTGGAATTTACCATATGTATTACCAATATTAATTTGTTTAATTCTTCAAACTCTATAGGATAGGTTTAATTATTATTCCCACCTAAAAATAACCTGAAGCACAGGAAAAACATAAGACAGACAGCAAATTCAGTGCCAGGCACCCAGCAGGCAATCTATCATGGCCTATTAACTCTGGAGCCTGGAGCAGACAGAACTTTTCTTCTAACAAGAAGAAAACATATTGGCCAGCAGTATAAAGTAAAAGAAAGATGTATAATAGGTGTTGTTAGCTTTTTTGGTATTAAAAGAACATTTAACATTCTTTTTCTATTGCACTTCCATGCCCAATCTTTTGTGATGCTCAGACATACTCTTGTTAAATGAGAAACTGTGCAAAACACCATCTCAGCCCAGCCCTTCCATGGGCTTCACTAGCTCCAGCCCTCCGAAGTGGACCAAGCCCTTCACAGTGCCCAAGAGGGGTTCTTTTACCTGTCTCGTCGCTGTACTCCCCATCAGGACACTCCACACACTCAAAGCAGCAGGTGGGCTCCCCCTCAATGATCCCTTTCCTGGTCCCTGCCAGGCAGTCTCGGCTGCAGTTGGAGAAGGGCACCTGGAGGACCGCACAAAAGTGAGTGGCTGGAGCTATAGGGTCAGGGGCCAGCCCTACAGCCTCTTCAAAACATTTAAGACGGAGGAGTTGGGGCACAGGAATCAGTGTGACAGATGCTGGACCCATTCCAGGCAAAGGGAGGTCCAGAAGTCCTTGGTTCTGACATCTGTGAAAGGGACAGATGCCTATGGGCAAGTGTGCACAGGCCCACACACACATGTGCATGCACACATACATACACACACACACTCATGGGATTCTGTGATGATCTAGGAAGAGCACCACTACTTTCTGCTACTTGAAAACAGAATGAAAAATCCTAAAACACTAGCCAACAGACTCAAGGGACATAAGAAAGAAAATGCATCATGACTGTGTTGGATTTATGTCCAGGAATGCAAAAAAATCTAATATTAGAAAAATCTATAAGTATTATTCACTAAATTAACAAATTAATGGAGAAAAACATCATATGATCATCAATAGATAAATAAAAAGCACTTCATGAAATTTAACACAAACTATTGATAAAAGCGTAGTAAAAAAGGAGTGGGAAGAAACATCTTCAACTCGAAAAAGGATACCAAAAACCTCTTATAGTAAACATTATCTGTATAGAGAAAATATTAAATGCATTTCCCTTGAAAACAAGGATGTCCACTATCACCACTACTCTTTAACTCTGCATTGGAGGTCCTAGCTAGTGGAATCAGACAAGAAAAATAAGTGCATACATTTTGAAAGGGACCAAATAAAACTGCAATTATTTGCAGATAACATGGTTGCCACAAAGAAAACCCCAAAGTACAACCAAATTATTAGAAACAACTGAAGAGCCGGCCCAGGCTAAAATGCCACAGACTATCAGTGTTCTTACCAGAATTTCATCAGTTTTTCTTAAAAACAAACAAACAAAAACCCTTCACCTTTGCTGTGTGCTCTTGGTTAACTTCCAGTTTGTTCCGTGGTTTTTGTCAGTTTTGTCCAATTTTATCATTGTTTCACCATTTCAGAAGTCTTGCTTCTATCTCATTCTTTCATTGCGCCAGCTAATTGAGGATTTATTCTAGAAATTTATTAGTTATTTCCTATCTAACAATCTATATGTTTCAAAGACAATAAATATATCATAAGAATGAAGTCCATCTTGCAACAGCATATGTATCTTAAAGGTAGAGAGCACTTCTCACTCATTTTTGTAACCCCAGGTACAAAGCCTGGAGTAATGCTTAATACATAGTGGGGCTCTTACTATTTCCATAATATCTATTTAATGAGTCTCCCCTCTACCTACTACTTTGTAAGATGTCTTACAAACATACAAAGCAGTAAAATAACTGTCATTGTTTCTAGCAGAAATGACTGACTTGACAAAAGACAATAGGGAAAGTTTTAGCCAAGGAAACTTTATGACTAGCTAGGGAGTCATATTTGTGAAAAATGAAACTATTTCAATACCATAGGAAGGCATGGGGCTCAGGTTCCGGGGATTCTTCTCTTTACACTAAACACTATGTATTTCACAGGGAGCCCCAAGATTGCATAGGCCAGAGAGTGCAGAGAAGTGGACTCTTTATTTTGGAAGTCCAGTGGGGAAGCCAAAGGCCCTCCCAAAGCCCAGCACAGTTTCCTGCCTCTAGCGGAGGCATATTTTCTGACCTACCTCCCTGGAGAACCCACTCCACAGGATTTTCTCCTCGTTGATGAAGAGTCTTTCTCCCTTCTTGGCATAGACGTTGTAATACCCAACTTCCTTAAACATGATGGAGCCATCCTCTGGGGAGAGGTGCCAGTTGATGATGGAATAGTTCCCTACCAGGTCACCACACTCATCAAAGGTCACCTGCTCCCCCATATTGTTGGTAAAGTTGAGGTGCCGTAGGTGCTTCAGGACCTAAAGAGGAGCAGAGATGAATAAGTACAAGCCACACGACTGCCACATACGACCAATAAGGTAGGCCGTGCCCTGCACAAGAACAGTAAACTATCTTGCTTCAATGAAGTGGGAGGAACGTGACGAGGAAGAGTCAGCTTTTTCTAATTCACACCAAAGTACTTGCATGTATTAGCAGCAGCCCTGATAAGCCATGGGCTTTAATTATTATTCAATTGTAGTTAGGGTAGGAAGCACCTTCTTGAAGATGGGGAAAGGAATGGGAAACATCTTACCTGGCAACTGGCCAGGTCAGAGATTCTGCAGGTGTGCCATCACCTGGTGGTGCCCCAGGAGGGGCCGGATTTATAATCTGGATCCCATCCCTGGCATCTTCTGAGCTGGGCTTTAGGGAAGGAGAGGAGAAATGGCTGAGAGCTCTTCTCAGCACTTTCTTTCCCTATGGTCCTGCTGCTGTGGAAGCGCTTTGCTGCCAAAATTCACAGGGGTGCACAAACCCTTAGTAGGAACACCCTTAGTAGGGGTGGAAGAAAGAAAGAGATGAAGCTGTGGGTGAAGCCCTGGCTATTATTGTTGTCAGAGCCATGGCAAATCCTTGAATTTTTATAAGGTTTTACATGTCGCAAAGCCTGTGCACAAAAAAGTCATCATGATAATTACTAACACATATCACATTTGCATTTAAACAGTTTAGATATCAGTCACTTGACTACCGTTGAGGCACAACCCTAAGTACTTTATATTCATTATCTAATCGAATCCTCATAACATATAGTATCAAGCTGATTTTATTGCTGGAGAAACTGAGGCACAGAAAACTTAAGTATCTCGTCCAGGGTCATAAGCCTGCGTTCTTAGTTGCTATACTCTACTGCAGCATCATTGGGCTCCTGCCTCTGCTTCCTCACATGCTCCTGACTTCAATCAAGAGGGGGCAGTGGGTGCCCAGCCACTTATCTTTCATGTGGGGCCAGCCTTGTGTCACTGTGGCACCATGTGAGACTAGGGCAGGGTCTAGCCTGTGAGTGTAGGACACAGCTTCCACTGTACCTCCTGAGTCTCCAGCACTTTCCCATTCTGAGCTATTTTTTGTTTGTTTTTTGTAGAGGCAGGGCCTCACGATGTTGCCTAGGCTGATCTCGAACTCCTGGGCTCAAGCGACCCTCCTGCCTCAGCCTCTCAAAGTGCTGGAATTAGAGGCATGAGCCACTGTGCCTGGCCATTTATCTTTATCTTTTTTTTTTTTTTTTTTAAGTTCAGCTTTTTATTAAACACATTATATAAAAGAGGTTTAGTCAAAAAGACCAAAGCTCATGTCATCATCAGACTCCTCGGATTCTTCTTTCTTTGCTTTCACTTTCTTCTCCTCAGCTGGAGCAGTAGCAGTGGAGGGGGCAGGAACTCCTGCTGGTGCAGCACCAGCTGCTGGAGCAGGTCCATCAGCCCCTGCATTGCACATGAGGCTTCCAACGTTGACGTTAGCCAGGGCCTTTGCAAACAAGCCAGGTCGAAAAGGTTCAACATTTATACTGGCTGCTTTAATGAGGGCATGGATTTTATCTTCCGTGACAGTCACCTCATCATTGTGCAGAATGAGGGCCGAGTGGATACCGGTGAGCTCGGAGGCCATGGCGTGGGCAAGTGTGGGGCTGGCGCTGCCGGATGTCGCCGGATGAAGTCAGGGCTCACCCCAACACGGCCTTAGCTTCCTCGGAAGGACCGAGTACCTTGGCGGCCGCTGAGGAAAGGCTGTCATGTTTTTAAGATACCTATAATCCAATGTCTAATCTGACAGTAGGACAAAGTTTGGGCTGCGTCCATCTAATGGATGACATTAGCAGGCCTTTCTGAGCCTACGTGAATCTGATGTGCCTGACAAAGACGCAGACTGAGCCAGCACCTCTCCTGTCCCATTCCACCCCAGGGATGACACTGCTTCTTAAGAGTTTGTATCTGTATTGACTTTATTTTTAAATAAACTTTTATTTATCGTAAGGAAGATTGAATACAGGAGAGGAGCCACTTGGATTTATCCATAAGTAGCTCCAAGATATGCTTGGGGGCAAAGTCCATGATAGACTATGTATGCTCACAGGCATACCACCCTGGGCACATCCCCTAACCTGCAGTCTGGGACCTCCTCACTGCTCCCCTGGTGGGTCCTGGCTGCCCTGACTTTTGACCCAGGCCTATGAAGGAGAGGGGCCCCTCACCCCCTGCTATCTGATTCTGCAACCAGAGCCGCTGAGCCATCCTCAAAAAAGATGGAGAACGACTCCTCCTAAGGATTTGTGCTCCCTGTGTTCTCCCAAGCCTTGCCACCTTCTCTGATGACTGACAACCTTATTTTTGCCTTCATTTTTACTGAGGCCTTAAGGCAGTCAGTGGAGAGGAGGTGTTCTAGACGTGTTTCTTTCTTTAACCTCCACCTCCTCTTCTTATCCCTCCTCGCTCTTGGGGTGACCTGACTTCCTCCTACCCAGAGTGGTGTACATCCTTTTGTCTCTACCCCAACATACCCCTGTCCTGACACATCCTCTTGCCCTCAGAGGGCCATGCAGTTCTTCTGCTCTTTAATACTGCCCCCACTCCTGCGTTGCTCGAAACCTTTCTCCTAGCAATTTGGGAATCTTTCTGACACAGCCAACTATCCTCCATGCCGTAATCATGCCCTTCTGACTTCCTGCTGGGGACCTACCAAGACTCAGATGAAATGTGCTTCAAACTTCTCCAGGTAGCTTCCAAAGCCCTCCATACTTTGGTCCCATGTACCTACCATGACTTGTCAGTGCAAATGTTTCATCCTAATCATATAGTTTCCACTGTCCTGTCCAAATGCCATGCTAGGCTTGTGTGTGTAACAGGAGATGAGAAGAGCGAAGAGGTAGGAAACTATCTCTTATTTGTACTTCCCATGTGCCAGGCTGTTCTAATACTTAATACACACTATGTCATCTAATCCTCACAACACCTCTGTGGATTAGAACTATTATTATCTTCATTTTCTACATAATGAAACTGAGGCATAGAAAGGTCAAGAAACTTGCAAAAGTCATACAGCCACTAAGTGCTGGAGCTGGGGCTTAAAATGTAGCTTTTCTGTAACACCGTCCTACACCTCCAATATAAACTGTTTACAGTGTCCATGGCAAATATTTGTCAGAGGTCAGTAATAACTTCCTCATTAAAATACATATATAATGGTAAAGCTATAGTAGTTAGCATACATTTCTTCTTCCTATTTAGGTTTCAACTCCTTAGTTCTTAACGTGCCAGGCAACAAGGTGCTTCTCTCCTCTGTCCACTAGTTCTCTGCAGTGGAACTCTCTGGGCATCAGGGTAGAAGTGGGGAGGGGAACTGAACAAGATCTTCTCGTAATTAGGTGGTCATCTTTCACACTGGTCAGACTGCACAGACAAGTGACTTAAAGCTCAACCTGGCCGGGTTCAGTGGCTCACACCTGTAATCCCAGCACTTTGGGAGGCTGAGGCGGGCAGATCACGAGGTCAGGAGATTGGGACCATCCTGGCCAACATGGTGAAACCCCATGTCTACTAAAATACAAAAAATTAGCCAGGCATGGAGGCAGGCACCTGTCATCCCAGTTACTCAGCAGGCTGAAGCAGGGGAATCACTTGAACCAGAGGGGCGGAGGTTGGAGTGAGCTGAGATCCTGCCATTGTACTCCAGCCTGGGTGACAAGCAAGACTCCATCTCAAACAAAACAAAACAAAACAAAACAAAGCTCATCTCTGGCTACAAGTCTTCTTCATTATTGTTGACACGGCTGGAAATTTCCACCATAATCCTAACTTAAAAGGAGAAACAATAAAAAAATGATTTTCTTAAAGTTTATAAGTATTCATTTAAAAACTCATGATAAATATAAGACTGGGTTTTTATACTACTGGAATCAATCAACCAGGAAATATTTAGAGGATATCCACTGTCCTGAACTGGGCTGCAGAGCTACAAGACATGATCATCCCATCCTCATGGAGCTTTCATATAGAACAGGAGATAAAATATAAGACATGAATATTCAATGAAGCAGTAAACAGTGCAAGATAAAATATAGTTAACTGCTAACTTACGGGCTATCATCTGTAACTACAGAGAAATTCAGAGGAGATAGAAATTAAGAAGGGCTGAAATAATCAATGCAGGCTTGAGGAATAGTAAATATTTTGGCTGGCAAAGGACAGAGGGATGAAAGGTGTTAAAAACAGTGGAAGAACATGGGCAAAGACATCACATTAGGAATAGACATGATGCATTATGGGGCCAGAAAAGCAATCAATTTCTCAAGAATTGTGTATGTACTAGAGAACAAAGGGAAATATGGTAGATAAATAAAGAGCCATGGCAAAAAAAGAGGCTAGATTTCATATCAAAAAGGTATGGGATTAGATAAGAAAAGGGTTGATAAAAATGTAGAGAACTGCGTAATATTCCATGGTATATATGTACCACATTTTCCCTATCCAGTCTATCATCGTTGGGCATTTGGGTTGGTTCCAGGTCTTTGCTATTGTAAACAGTGCTGCAATGAGCATTCGTGTGCACGTGTCCTTATAGTAGAATGATTTATAATCCTTTGGATATATACCCAGTAATGGGATTGCTGGGTCAAATGGGATTTCTATTTTTAGGTCCTTGAGGAATCGCCACACTGTCTTCCACAATGGTTGAATTAATTTACATTCCCACCAACAGTGTAAAAGTGTTCCTATTTCTCCACATCCTCTCCAGCATCTGTTGTTTCCAGATTTTTTAATGATCCCCATTCTAACTGGTGTGAGATGGTATCTCAATGTGGAATATTACGCAGCCATCAAAAACGATGAGTTCACGTCCTTTGTAGGGACATGGATGAACCTGGAAACCATCATTCTCAGCAAACTGACACAAGAGCAGAAAATCAAACACTGCATATTCTCACTCATAGGCGGGTGTTGAACAATGAGAACACATGGACACAGGGAGGGGAGCACTGCACACTGGGGTCCGTTGGGGGGAAATGGGGGAGGGACGGGGGGGTGGGGAGGTGGGAAGAGATAGCATGGGGAGAAATGACAGATACAGGTGAGGGGACGGAAGGCAGCAAACCACACTGCCATGTGTGTACCTATGCAACAATCTTGCATGTTTTTCACATGTACCCCTAAAATGCAATAAAAAAAATTCAATTAAAAAAAAATGTAGAGAACTTGGAATTCTCCATAGACTGCTGGTGGGGATGTAAACTGGTACAGCCACATGGGAAAAAAAGTCTGTCAGTTCCTTAAAAAGTTAAACATGGCCAGACACGGTGGCTCGCACCTGTAATCCTAGCACTTTGGGAGGTTGAGGCAGGCGGATCACGAGGGCAAAAGATGGAGACCATCCTGGCCAATATGGTGAAACCCTGTCTCTATTAAAAATACAAAAATTAGTTGGTAGTGGTGGCACATGCCTGTAATCCCAGCTACCTGGGAAGCTGAGGCAGAAGTATCTCTTGAACCTAGGAGGTGGAGGTTGCAGTGAGCTGAGATAGCACCACTTTACCCCATCCTGGGCGACAGAGTGGGACTCCATCTCAAAAAAAAAAAAAAAAAAAAAAAAAAAAAAAAAAAAAAAATTCCACAAAGAAAACCAACTCAAGATGGCTTCACTGATGAGTTCTGCCAAACATTTAAGGAAGAAGTAATACCGATTCTATGAAGTCTTACAGAACTTTATCAAAAGGGAGTCAATACTGCCAAACTCATTCTGAAGTCATCATTCCTCAGACACCAACATCAGACAAAGATATTACAAGAAAATAAAACCATAGACCAATAGTCCTCATGAACATGGAAGCAAAATTTCTTAACCAAATTTTAGTAAATCAAACACACAAATATATGTACAAAAAAGAATATATATTATGACCAAGTAGGATTAATCCCAGGAATGAAAGTTTGGTTTGATGTTCAACTACATTAACATACTACCAAAAGAGAAACCATATGATTATCTGAATAGGTACAGAAAAAGCACTGATAACATCCAACTCCTATTTCTTATAAAAGCTCTAGACGGCCAGGCGCAGTGGCTCAAGCCTGTAATCCCAGCACTTTGGGAAGCCAAGGCAGGTGGATCACGAGGTCAAGAGATCGAGACCATCCTGGTCAACATGGTGAAACCCCGTCTCTACTAAAAATACAAAAAATTAGCTGGGCATGGTGGCGCTTGCCTGTAATCCCAGCTACTCAGGAGGCTGAGGCAGGAGAATTGCCTGAACCCAGGAGGCGGAGGTTGTGGTGAGCTGAGATCGCGCCATTGCACTCCAGCCTGGGTAACAAGAGCGAAACTCCGTCTCAAAAAAAAAAAAAAAAAAAAAAAAAAAAGCTCTAGGCAATATAGGAGTAAAAGGGATCTTCCTCAATCCTATAAAGGGGATCTATGAATGTTAACATCATAGTTAGTAGTGAGAAACTGAATGCTTTCCCCCTGAGATCAGAAGCAGACAAGAATGCCTGTTTTTACTATATCTATATGATTATACTGGAAGTTCTAACCAGTTCAACTGGGTTGAATCAGGCTGAATAAGACTGAAAATATGATCTAAATTTTAAACTAAAAAAAAAACAAACAAATAAATAAAA